TTTTTAGTAGAGACAGGATTTTGCCATGTTGCCCAGACTGGTCTCAAACTCCTGGGCTCAAGGGATCCTCCCACCTCAGCGTCCCAAAGTGCTGGGATTACAGACATGCACCATCACACCCAGCCCCATGCTGCATTAATTCAGAACTTATTGCAATGACAAAAAATAATTTACAATATTACAATAGTTCAGGCAGAAAAAGTATTCTGTTATCTACCAAAAAAAGAGTGAAAAAGTCATACCCAAAAAGCCACATACTGTATGTTCCATCTACATGTCATTCCAGAACAGACATAACCAGAGCATGGAAAATTGATCCAGGATTGTCACAGGGGTTGAGGATAGGGTCTGACTACCAAGAGGCATGAGGGAATTTCAGGGGTAAACTCAGAATCTCTCTCTGTCGCCCAGGCTGGACTGCAGTGGTGCTATCTTGGCTCAATGCAACCTCCACCTTCCAGGTTCTAACAATTTTCCTGCCTCAGCCCCTTGAGTAGCTGGGACTACAGGTGCATGCCACTACGCCCTGGCTAATTTTTTGTATTTCAGGAGAGACAGGGTTTCACCGTGTTGCCCATGCTGGTCTTGAACTCCTGAGCTCAGGCAGTCCACCCACCTTGGCCTCCCAAAGTGCTAAGATTACAGGTGTGAGCCACCATGCCTTTACTCTTCTACATCTTGTTTGTGGCAACGGTTCTGCAATTATATGTGTTCATTAAGACTCACAGAAGTAAACACTGAAAGGGTAAATTATCACAATTTTTTTAAAGAATCTAAATTTTAAAAATAAATACAAATTAAACCAAATTTTAAATAATTTTTAAATATTTATTTTCAGTTTGGAAGGAAAAAAGCTGTAAGTTTGTTTTTTTTTTTTTTTGACACTCAGCCAAATTGCCTATTCTTTGTAAGAGCAAGAGATACATATTTCCAGGTCGGGTGCGGTGGCTCACACCTGCAATCCCAGCACTTTGGGAGGCCGAGGCGGGTGGATCACCTGAAGTTGGGAGTTTGAGACCAGCCTGACCAACATGGAGAAAGCCTCTCTCTAGAAAAAATTGAATATTAGCCTGGGCAACAAGAGTGAAACTCCATCTCAAAACAAAGAAAGAGAGAGATACATATTCCCAAGCACAACACAAATTATGCTCAGGCTCAACACATACTCCACTCAAGAAAACTTCGTTTTGAAAATGAAGTAAAAGACAGTGGGCCACCCATGGAGAACTACACACTAGTGAGGAGCAAGGACTCAGTGTTCACATGGCAACTTGGATATCTCTAAAAGACATTACTGAGTGGAAAAATGGGGATGAGCTCTGTCACACAACGCCACTTAGATAAGTTAAAGATACCTGGCCAGGTGCAGTGGCTCACGCCTGTAATCCCAGCACTTTGGGAGGCCGAGGCGGGTGGATCACCTGAGATCAGGAGTTCAAAACCAGCCTGGCCAACATGGTGAAACCCGACCTCTACTAAAAGTTCAAAAATTAGCTGGGCGTGGTGGTAGCCCTTGTAATTCCAGCTACTCATGAAGCTGAGGCTGGTGAATTGCTTGAACCCAGGAAGTGGAGGTTGCAGTGAGCGGAGATCGCACCATTGCACTGGGTGACAAGCGAAACTCTGTCTCAAACAAAAGAAAAAACTCCGTCTCAAAAAAAAAG